TCGCGCTGATAATTAAACGCTACAGAAATTGCATCAAATCTGCAAAGACTTACCCTGGCGCGGATATAAATTCGCTTCACAATCCGCTTCTAGTGAACATCCAGTTATCACTGAAAAGATGTACAGCTAAAACGAACAGCTCAAGATTGAACAATACTAAACAACTTAACAACTCTAGCCTTCGGTATGCGGATGATATTTTTTCTCTGGAAGGTCGTCAAATATTTCTTGATCATTTGGCTACTGAAAGTGAATAATTTGGATTGAAATTGAACACCAAAAAAACTAAATAGATGGTGATAAGTAAGAACCAGGTTGGAGGAGGTATTCTTCAGTTACAGAACCAACAGATCGATCGGGTCCAATCATACAGACACCTAGGATGTCAGGTTAATGAAGACTGGGAAAACTTGCAGGAGGTTCGTGTCAGGATTCATCAAGCCAGAGCATCGTTTGTAAAAATTAAGTCCGTGTTGTGTAGTCGAGGTTTCTCGGTCTCCGTACTACGTTGCTACGTCTTCAGTATTCTCCATTATGGGATTGAGACGTGGACTCTGACAGATGCCATATGTTAAAAGCTAGAGGCTTTTGAAATGTGGACATATAGACGGATGTTAAAAATATCTTGGACGTGCAGAGTGCGTAATGAAGATGTGCTAACGAGAATGTCAAAAGATCTTGAAGTTATGTTCACGCTTAAAAAGCAAAAGTTAGAGTACTTCGGACACATACTCCAGGAATCACAAATACCTAATCGAGGGAAAAATCGAAAGCAGAAGAGGCCCTGGACATCAAAGAATATCTTGGCTAAATAACCAATGTTCGTAGAGGACAAGGTAGTTGAAGAAGAAGAAGAGCCAGAGTTTTTGGCAGGAAAAAGGAAAAAAAAAATTGCATGCCACTCAGCTGTAGTTGTGTTTCTAAAATAAATAAAATAACAACCATCTGCTTGATTCTTGTCATTTTATTATAAATTTCCAGTCGTTTAGGAAATAACATTCAAATTTGCATTTTTGCGCTCTGATTCTATTTACATAAGTATAACTTTATCTGTAAGTGTAGCGTCATTTATTTCATAAACAAAATCGAGTAGGTACCTATTATCTTTCAATGGTTTTGTTTTCCGATTTCCTGAGATTAAAAATTAGCACTCGTTTGTCATAGTCATGATTTTCGTAATTTCAATTTACCAATTAATTTCACAGTCTAGTCTAACGATCCCAAATTCACTCTTTACTATCCAAAATTCCTTGAAGTGACGCAAGAGGTCATAATGTTCGTTCCAATATACCAAAACCTGCAATTTTGGCATGTTACTTTTTTTCGTACCCTTCAATACTAAAATATATTATTTCTAACCCTGTACGAATTAAAATGAAATTTCAAGCAGCAGACTAATCGCTGAAAAAAAAATGTATTTTTCACCCAACAAGAAATCAGAAATCAATCAAAGCCATAAATATCAGGTTTGAAATCGTTTTTGACTGGTAATTTGGTTGGATTGAACTGATTTTGAATTCCCGCTGCGCAAATCTGATAAATAGTGTCCCAATTCTTGTCATTTTGGTTTATTTAATGGCCGGAAACCTTTCGAACCTCTAGGATTTTTGAAAGCACTCTCTAGTTTTCAAGTTGACATTTATTTTTTTAATTGAATAAATACATTAAATCTTGGAGCTCTATTCGAACATTAAGCTACAGTCAATTAAAGTGGCAGAATGTTATAATTTAAATTTGGTTTAATTTCGTTGCTACATTTCTTATATTCTTGATTGTTGATGAGCACATTCCTGCGAGATTGTTCTTCTGATATTAGTCGTAGCAATTAGTTCCACATACTTTTTCGGAAATTGAAATAAGTGTTTTTTAAAAGTATATTTACTAAATGTAAACTATAATTTGAACCTTCAAGTGCTTTTATGTAGGTCTTATTTACTTAGCTAATCAGATAATATATACAGGGTGTTCACTTAGTGCGATATCGGACGATACGTCCTTACAGGGTGATGCAAGAGAAAAAAATTAAATCAAAAAGTTGTTTGATACTCTAATATGCATTGGTTAAAAATATTTTTGAATATACAGGGTTTTTTTTTTTTTTTTTTTTTTTTTACGGATATGCGCACTCGCAAGGAAATGTCCTATCACGCTCGAGAAGCGGCAAGTGCGCGGAAATGTCGGTGCATGTTGGTCTTGAAACGGTTCAGGTTGTAACCTGCAGGGAAAACCGTCGTAGGGAGTTTATTCCACAGCGATGCTGTTCTCCAGAGATATGAATTCTGATATAATGAGGTTCTTGGTGCCTCTAGTTTGACAGTAAATTCATGGTTACCGTCTGTTTGACGGGTTCGCCTGGTAGGTGCTACTCTCGGTGGAATCATACGTGCCAACTCTTCAGAGCATTTTCCATGATAGTACCTGTAGAAGAGAGATAAATCGCCCACCGTTCTGCGATGTTCGAGACCATCCAAGTTACGAGTAAGTGCGGGGTCATTGATCAGCTTGATAGCTCGTTTTTGCACGGTATTCAAAAGCATTAAGGTATGTTTGGGTGCTGCACTCCATATATGTGAGCAGTACTCCATAGTTGGTCGAATCTGGGCTTTGTAGAGTGTCAGCAATTGGCTTGGTGTGTACAGATGTCTTGTACGAAATAGCACCCCCAGCTTTTGGGAGGCCCTTTTAGCAATATCTGCCACGTGACTGTGCCAAGACATGTTGGTCTCTGCAGTAACCCCCAAGATGTTCAACTGACTCTGTAATGTGACAGCACTTCCAGATAGCATGATGTTTGGCTCACCGGTGCTGGTCTTTTTTGAAAACAGAGCTGCTTGGGTTTTCTGCGCGTTGAACTGTACAAGGTTTTTGTTACCCCAGTCCTCTATTATCTCCAGGTCGTTATTTATCTGCGATATTTGAGTTAGTCTAAGATGATGGAATTCACGTGCGGAAAGACCTGTCGGTGGTATGAGTGAGGAGACTACATTGCCATCGTCTGCAAAGCAATAAAGTGGATTTACTGTTTTATCTATGAGGTCATTTATGTAAATCAGAAAAAGAGTTGGCGAAAGGATTGCTCCCTGTGGCACACCAGCATTTATTTGGTAAGAGTTGGAGTTCTGGCCGTCCAGTGCAACATAAATGGATCTGTCCTTTAGGTAACTTTCAAACCAAGTGCAAAGTTTCGGCGATAATCCCATTGCTTTGAGCTTGTTGAGCAGATTTTCATGCCAAACTTTGTCGAATGCTTTAGATATATCTAAGGCAATTGTTCTTGTTTCACCCCGCAACTCAATCGCTTTTTGCCATAAGTGAGTGACGTATGTAAGTAAATCGCCAGTTGACCTATATTTTCGAAATCCGTATTGCTTATCGTTGATAATTTTGTACTTTTCCAAGTACTTGGTTAGGTGATTGTTCACAACTCTTTCCATTACTTTTGATATCACCGGAAGTGCTCCGTTTATGGGGTATGCGACAGAACTTTGTTTTTCTAAATGAAACACCCTGTATGTGATTGCATATTTGGATACTCCGTAAAGTTCTGAGCAGATTTCATGTGGCATACCCTATACCTAGGTTCAACTGTTTTGGAAATATTGACAGTTGAAAATTGACTTTTTGCAATTTTGACAGGCTGTAGAACCTTAACGGTTAATCTTAGAGGAAACCCGATTTTACATTCCTATCTTAGATTTCCATAAACTATCATTAGACACCAACTTTGAATTTAACCGGAGATTAAATTTAACTGGAATTTTCAATCATGGATTATATTCGAAGTTGGTGTCAAATGATAATTTATATAAATTTAAGATAGGAATGTAAAATCGGTTTTCGTCTAAAATTAATCGTTTAGGTTTTACAACCTGTCAAAGTTGCAAAAAGTCTACTTCCAACTGTCAATATTTCCAAAACAGTTGAGTTTAGGTATAGGATATATTATATGAAATCTGCTCAGAATTTTACGTAGGATCCAAATACGCAATCACATACAGGGTGTTCTATTTAAAAAACAAAGTTCTGTCGCATACCCGATAAACGGAGCACCCTGCATATTCAAAAATATAGTTATCTAATGCATATTAGAGTATCAAACAACTTTGTTATATTTTTTTTTTTTCTTGCATCACTCTGTAAGGAGATATCGTCCGATGTCGCACTAAGTGGACACCCTGTATACAGTGTCATTACTTAAGTGTGCAACATATGGGATTTTTTTTTAGTAATAGCACAATCAAAATACAAACAAGGCCAAAAGTTGGTGCATGTCTGATAATCATATTAGGTGCATATAGAATGTTTGCAAGTCAAACAGCATACAGGGTGGCTCAAAAAATATCAAAATTCTACTAATATTTACTTAAATAAAATAAAACTTTTGCACTTTAAGGAGAGTTTTTTTAATATGGCTATTATCATCAGTAATGTTTTAAATTGTTAAAAAAAAAAAATTCGAAATTTTAAAGTTGTGTTGAATATCATTGCAACAAACATGAATTTTGTGATTCCATAAAAAATTAAAAATGTAAGTTAATTTTACAAATATGCTTAAATTTGAACAAAGTTATGTAAAATTGATTTGATTTTAATTAATTTTTGAAAGTCTCAAGGGCGGAAATAAAAAATAAAAAATATATAAAAATTATAGATTTTTTTCGAAAGAAAATAAAAAAAATCTTAGGAGGCTATGTTTTGGTATTTAGGCATAACTTTTAATTCCAAACAACTTTTCTCTATAACATTTTGCTGAATTTTCTAAAATGAGGGTACTTTACAGTACCAGCTTTGATATTGTTTGAGCTACCCTGTATGCTGTTTGACTTGCAACCATTCTAAGTGCACCTAATATGATTATCAGACATGCACCAACTTTTGGCCTTGTTTGTATTTGGGTTGTGCTATTACTAAAAAAAATCCCCATATGTTGCACACTTAAAAAATCATACTGTATATACATATAGTCGTTTTCCAGTTTATGGATAAAAAAAATGTCTTACCTGTCTAAGTCTCAAAACAATTAAACTTGTATGCCTATTATCACTGCCCATTTCACAGCCACTTAGTGCCATATTGGAAACAAATTTATTTAGCACAATATTAATTTAACACACAAAAAAAAATCTAAAAGCAACATCAAGAGGCCCAATTATCTCAAATCAATTAGGTATACTATTAGGCATCGATGTAATGAACTAATTATTTCATTTCTGCGATCTTTTTCGTTTGACCTGTTCCGGCCTTCTAAATGTTGATTAAAGTTCGAGAGAATCTTAAGTGAAAACAAATTACTAAAAATCCGTATCATATTTTTAAAATAAATACATCGATTTTTTCATGCTCTAGTATTAGTAAATAAACTATTTTAATAACAATGACTTTTGGAGATATAAGTAATTGATTATAGCACAAGTTTTGGTTTACAGGAAAATCCGTTTGCTTTTCATATTTATAGCAAGATAAGGACGTTATGATTTTGATTTATTGATATGATTTATTTAAAATTGTTTGTATTAAATACCTAGTTAACTCCATTGTTCCGAAACATCCATATTTAAATCTGAAATTTAATTTGTAAAATCAAGGTCTCGAACATTTTGCTTGGATAGACTACTACTGCCATACCTTCCAATTTACCTTTTTTTTTTTTCGATTTCTGATCACGGACATCTGTATGATTTAATAAAAATCATGTCGAGAGGGATATGGCCAAACTCAGCTTGATTGAAGTAAAAAAAAAATTTAAAATATGGAAATTTATAAAATAAATTACACCCAAACCAATTGTAGAAGAAAAAAAATACCCTATTAACACAAATCGTAAGTTATGGTTGAAACCTAAAGACACTTTAAAATGTTCAAAAACCGTGAAATTAAAAATCGATATTCATGGATCTTTGACAGGCTATAAAATGCGAACGGAAATTCGTCTTTTCCGGTCGACAGGAAATTGATGGCGAATGTAAGCTCATAAAAGTCAACAATCAAACTTAAATACTGTGCCACCGCACTCTGGATCAAATGGGCTATAAAAATTTAAGGAAATTATGCTGCAGTAAAAGTTTGTTGTAACCTAAACAAGCTCTAATAAAATAACATTTTATTATAATTATTGCTATCTAGAATGATTTTCCTCAACAAAAATATAAGGACATGGGCATCTATAGATTTATTATTATTCTATTAATAACGAAAACTGTGTAGTCTTCGACGTTAAAAAAGAACGGGAAAAAATATCCATGTCTTGTATACTTTTTATATCATGATGATTGCCGCCGAAAATTGAGGTTGTTTCGCTGAATGCGACTGTTCGCATTCAATAAAAGACGATTCGCTTCCTTGAGATAAGATAAGTGCCATTCCTGAGGTCTTCGGCCACCCTCTGCCTCCTCATAAATCGAATTTGGAAATGAAAAAATAAATGAGAGGCACGCATAATAAATAGAAATTGAAATTTTTTCTGGCAGACCAACCAAAAGTTGACATGGGGTCTGAGACCAAGGACATGGCTGTTATGTACGCCATAGTTATCAGGCCCATAGTCGTATGCGGACCTGCAATATGGTGGGAAAAGCACAACAAGTAACCACGGTCAATAAACTGAACAGCCTCCAGAGACTGGCATGTCTGTGCGCCACCGGGACTATGAGAAACACATCGACTGCAGCGCTGGAAGCAATTCTGGGGCGATCTCTCCTCAATGCTTACATTAAAATGGCAGCTATAGTTAACGCCCACAGGATGAAGGCTGCCGGGCATTGAAAGAAACACCAGGCAACTACGGCCACACAAAGGTTATCAACCTGATGGACGATACATAGTGGAAATGCAAACGGATCAAATGGTGGTGTCATATCGTCGCTGTCATTATGAAGAGGCCAATCTCTGATTTAACAACTTTTCAGGAGAGCGTTTTGAAGAAAACTCTAATGTTTATTTTGTCTGTAGCACTGGATATAATTCAGTATCAGAACTTGTTTTTTCATATACATATAACACCAAAGTATACTTAGAACATTGAGACATATCTCTTTTGAAATAAAAGATTGGACTTTTTCTGTAAATAAATTATTAAGAAGATAGGCCTGTTCGTAATAACATCAGATACAAATGTTTGGCTGTTTGACAAAGCATCAGATATGCCGCTAAAATTGAATAATGGCCACACGGTGTATTAGTGAGATATGCTACTTCGTCACAATATAGATATGGTTCTTTTAAGTATTTTTATGAGAATAACTCATTTTCGCCAAATATTGTGATAGGCCCCTTCGTACCGACAGCGACGATATGCGACCCAAGCATATGGCAGGAAGAAACGCCCCACATAATAAGAAGACTAAGAGGCCAAGATCAGAACAAAACATCTCTTAACGCCACAGTTTACCACGCAGAAACTCATGCAATTTAAGCATGCGCATAGTCAAGCTGCTCTAGAGGCTCTAACCTCACATCGAGTTGCTTCGAAGATAACGATGAAATGTCCACACGACTAGGAAGCTCTGTCGTCAAAGAGTAACAGGATAAAAGCTCCTGTGAAGCATTCGGGAATAGAAGGCTGACGAACTGGCCAGAGCCGGAGCAGCTGCACTCTACACAAGACCAGAACCCGCATTTGAGATATCAGAGCAGGTTATAAAGACAGCAGTTGAAAGGTGGTCGACCCATCAACACCTCGACTTTTGCCGGTCTACACCTGGAGCAAGACAGGGGGATATTTGGAAACCCCTCAGCTAACAGCTGAAGTAGTCACTAACGCGTACTCAGATAAGACGGGTGATAGGACTACTAACAGGACACTGACATCTTAAGGTGCACATGCAGAGTCTGCATTAGCCCAACGACATGTAGACTATGTAGTGAAGAGGAGGAAACCGTCTTACACATAATATACGACTGTAAAGCACTGGCTCGCCGAAGACATAATTTATTTGGAGGCATACAAAGCGGCGAGAGACTCACGCATGAGAAACTTGCCAGCAACCTGCTAGATTTCATCAAAGGGACTGACCTTGCTTAAGCAAGACAGAGGTAGCACAATAAGCCTTAAGGCTGCAGTTCAAATCGAGACCTGAGCACGCCTGACTCTACCTTGAACCAACCAATCATCTCTGATCCTAAGTAACAAAAAATAATTAATAGACTATGTCCTGTTGGAAGAACATTGTGCCCGTGTTACAAAGATTGCGTGATACAAGAAGTGTGAGTTGTGAGTGTGCAAAATCTGCGAGTTGATTTTAGTGTTTTGAGAACTTTTCAACAAAAATTAATATTTTTATAATAAGGATTTGACAAGTAGCTGAGTAAGTATTATTTGATTTTTCTCTTGAATGTTTAGTGCAAAAATGTCATTCAATGCAATTCACAACTTAATAAAATGGCACATTTTTTATTTTTACTAGAAAAGTGATAAAAATGCAAGCTGTTATTTACATTATTTGAAAGCCAATAACAAACCAAAACGTAAACAGATCGAAATAAATTAACGCCGTGCAAAAAAAAGTTTCAAATTTACCAGTTTTATTTACATTTATATCGTGGCAGAGATAAATACCTGTACAATGTTGTCACGTTGTTGACATTTTCCTAAATTTAAATTCTGCGATAACTCCGAAAACACTAACAATTGACCCATGGTCAATAGGACACTTTTAGCTTGAAATGGGCCATATTATCTCATGTTAAAATATTTGTACTCATACCTGATACACCGTGTAGAGCTGTATAACCAGTATTTCAATTTATTTGAGGATAATCTATTGTTTGGTAATTCAAATTTAATTTTGCTAGGCTATTTTAATTTACCACATTTTAATGTTGTTAGCAATGATGTGAGCGATAAAAATGTCTTGTTGCGGCAGTTCCTTAGGATGTACAAGCTACTGCAAGTAAACAATCTTCCTAATTCTGTTGATAGGTTTTTAGATTTAGTACTGACAAACATGAATGTCCATAGTGTGACCGGGTCTGAATGCCCATTGGTCTATGAAGACCCATATCATCCAGCCCTAGACCTCTATGTAAAGGTGACGTAGATACAAAAAAACTAATAATAAAAAAGCGTATGTCTATGACTATGTCAAAGGTTACTTCTCACTTCTTTGTCACTTTATTTCAGATTATGATTGGTCCTCGTTACTGACATGTCAGGATGTGGGAACGGGTTTGAATGTTTTTTATGAAAGTATGTACAGATTCATATACCAAATATACCAAAGATCAAAATAAATTTAAATGGTGGAGCTAAGCTTCCAACCTGGTTCTCCATCAACCTCGTACGTAAAATTAAGAGGAAGAATAGGCTTTATCGTTCTTTCTTAAAAAACGGACCAGATAACCCAGAGAGTGCAGAATATCTGACATTGAGAGTACAAATTTAGAATCAAACAAAACTTGAATACAATGCATATAAAACATTAATTGAAAGCAAGCTCATGGCAGATCCAAAGACTTTCTGGGCATTCTTCAAAAATAAAACAGAAAATGGCGGAATCCCGGTGGAAATGACACTCAATGGTAATAAATATAATAATTCTGTAAGCATTGCAAACTCATTTGCCGAATATTTTCCATCAGTGTATGGGACATCTGACTGCTCTGACTACCGCTTAGATGATAGAGATTGTAATGCGCAATGGCAAAAATTTTAACCTAAACACCATTTCAAAACTTTATAATGCCTTGGTGAGACCTCACATAGAGTAGGCCTCGAACATCTGGTCACCTGTGTCATTCTCTAACTCGGATTCAATTGAAAAAGTGCAAAAACGTTTCTTAAGATATTTATATCTAAAGAAAAATAGTGAGTTCCTATGGTCTCATACAGGGCAATGCTGGAAACCTTTGAGATTCAAACATTGTCCAGTAGAAGAAATAACCAAGCAAGATTTTTATATATTATATAACTAACATTATAGAATACAAAGACTGGGATTTAATTACCTATATCTCATTGTACCAGAGACTAGGTTGAGGATTACTGATAGAATTTTTGTAGATAAATCTAGTAGCACGTCGCCAGTAAATAGTATGTTAAGAGTATGTAATGTAATAATATGTTGAGCGATATGGAAAATGTAGATATGTGTAATGTTGGGACTGCCGAAATCAGCTGTTTGTCCTTTATATCATCCACTATTGTGTGTTTTACGTCCATAATCTCCCTAATTCTCAGATTTGTTATCCTCTCCATTTTTGACCTGCCTGCCGCTCTCCTCCAAAAGCCCATTTCAGTTGCTTCCAGCATATTTGCGGTTCTGTTCTGTAGTGGCCAGACCTCTGAACTATATGTGAATATGCTTTCACTATGGTGTTGTGTATTCTAGTTTTGTAATTCTTGTTGATATTTTGGTCCCACAGTACAACAATTAGTAGGGATATTGCCTTGCGTCCTTGTATATTCCGATCTTTAATGGGTTCGTCTAGGGTTCCCTCATGGGAGATTTTCATTCCCAAATATTTTTATTCAGTACATTGTTTTATTTTTTGTCCGTTATTCAATTTCAGAGTTCGTTGTTCACCTCCTATAGTCATATGTTCTGTTTTAGTTAGATTCACTTCCAAACCCCATTTCTCGTATTCCTCTATCAATTTACGTGTCATGTACTCTAGGTCATCATAGTCCAATTAATAGAGAGTTCTCGTACCTCAAACGCTACGCTAATACGATACCGCTAACAATACGGTAATTTACATGGTATTTCATAGTTCTCGTACACGAATACGCAAAAATCCTTCAATCCCTTATTCTGTTTTCATTTTGACAGCTAAGTTGAGTGATCTAACCCAACTTTTTTTTGGTTGTTTTCTAACTTATTATTTATCCTGAAGGAGGAGGAATTATTAGAAGTTGCTGTTCTTGCAGACGGAAATGGAACGTTAACTAATTTTGAAAATTTTGACGTAGCATAGCGTTACGGTAAGGTATCCGCTAAGTCCCGTTAGATAGCGGGCTCCGCTAACGCTAATACCGTAAGAACTGTCATACTTGTCAAATAGCGTTACGGTATTTGAAATTTGGACAGCACGAGAACTCTATAATACTTGGTCATCCGCAAAGCTTGAAGTATTGTCACGATATCGTCCGCCAGGCTGTCAAGAATCGATGGTGAAAATACTAGAATCTAGCGAATTATTCTGCTTTGATCTGGAAAATTAGATTATCGTGTGTATTCTAGATTTTACAGAAATAGAATTAGGGATATATAAGAAGGCCGGCATTGATTTGTAAGTTAGTTTCAGTTCGACTGTGATACGATTTAAATAGTGATTGTAAATAGTTTAATTGTTGAGTTTGTTAATTAGTGTCAGAGTGTTTTGTTAAGTGGAATAAATTATTGCTGTGTTAATCGGACTTTGATTTTTGGAATAAACGAAAGGAACAACGAACCCAAGATTTCTGTCAGGCAATCCAAAGCCGCGACAGTATATAAATTGTATTCATTGAGCGGTATTCCGATACTTTATCAGTTCTCCATATATTTATCTTGAGCCTGGTTCTCTACCATTATTCAAGAGGCTACAGTGTTTTTTAACTTCTTCTTTCATAACCCTTATTGGTGATCCTGCAGTTTTTACGTTGTTTCTGTTCTTTTTCTTTAATATCTGTCTGTTGTTTTGTCAGTATAATTCTTCAAAGTACTCTTCCCATTGCTGGGGTGTTATTGTATTGATAATATATTGATAATATCTTAACTTATCAATTATCAATACAGAAGCATTTTTTACTAATCCTAAATTCAGGCAATTTCTAAAACTTCCACACATCGATTTAGATAATGAATTTCCGAAATAATTTTCCTTATTTTAAATAAACTTATTAAATTGCATAATTATCTCAGTTTTTGTTCCTGCATGCCTAACTATAATTGTAGGTACTATTTGGAAAATAAAATAGAATAGGCCTGCGGAGGAAAAGTGAGCTCAGTTTTTGATGGTTATAGTTAAGCCAAGATTTTACTTTAAAAAAAAATTACACTTTGCCAGAAATCTAGATAATTCGATACCTACGTAACGAAAAACTCAGGAAGTGTTGCACAAGTTTTTCTTATCGAAAAAGCTGTCAGCTGTTTCAGTTGAATACTGCGGGGTCTCACCATAAATAAATAAAGTGACAAGGGCACGAAAATAGGGCGCTTAAAACCCTTTTTTTTACTTGGGGTTGTCAACTTTGCATAACGGTACCCGTATCCGATTATTCATCGTTTTAATATTTGTCTCCTAATAGGTAGATAGAATCCTGGCCTTTGCTTCTTTTGCATACTAAATCTTAAGGTCCTTTTGTTAACACAGAAATAAATCTTGTTCAAATTTTTAGCAATTATTTATTGATTATTGAAAATGAAATTTTAGGTTACTTATAAATACTGTTGGATCTTTTATTGCCATTGAAATAGTTTTCGATTTCATGAAGAGGCTTATTCCTAGTTTCGGGAAGTACTATAATTAGAACAATCATTCCGACTAAACAACAAACACCAAACAATAGAAATACGGCCTCTGTTGGTAATACTTTGAACAACCATGGAGTAATTTTAATCAAAATAAAAAATTGTAACATATTACAAAATGACGCGATACCGCTTCCTAAGCCTCTAGAGGAAGAGGCAAAAAGCTCACCGCTCATAGCATAAGGTAGTGGCAATAGCCCTAAGTTGGAAAATAGTACATAACCTACTAGAGATATAACAGCTATAAGAGATAAATCTGAGTCATTTAGTAAATCATAATTATGAGTTATGAATAAATAAACGCTTAAAATTAATAATGAGATTAAACTTCCAGAACAACTTATTATCATAAGAAGTCTACGAGACAAGTATTGTAGTCCAAAACAGCTTAAAATTGAGGCAATCATTCTCACTCCATCCATAATAAGCATTGATGTATATGGATTGAATGTAGAATTACGAAGTACTTCTTTGAGAATGGTTACAGTGTAGAATGCAATTGGGTTTATTCCAGAGCATTGCATAGCACTAAGGAAAAATAGTAGGATTAATAAAGGTTTATAGAATGTTGGATTTCTGAATATTTCCAAATGTTGCATTAGAGTTTTTTTCGGTGAATTGGTTCCTTGTTGTTGTCTGGAGATTAGAAACTCAAGCTCAATTGTGGATTCCTTCGAGTTACCACGACACCTAAAAAATATTTCTTTGATAATATTTATAAGGAAAAAACCTTTGCTTACCATATAAATCCTATTTTGGCTTCATCGATTTTGCCTTTTTTAATTAAGTACGTCGGTGATTCTGGCATAAAAAGCAATAAAACGAAGCAAGCAATGGGATAAATGCAAGCCGATAGCGCTACCAATTTCCACTTTACAAACGTTCCCATTACGTGGGCTATTGATATTCCTAGATTAAGTGCAAGGATAACGGTCGGTGATAGAAATCCACGAAATACTGGATCGGATATTTCGGCGACGTAAATCGTAAGGACTGGGCTTAATATGCCTATGCATATACCTTAAAGAAGGATATTTTGAAAAAAATTAAAGCCAATAAATTGTTTAAGTACCTGTAAGAAATCTGCCAGCAAGCAACATTGCAATGCTCCGTCCGCAAAATGCTATCAGCAGCCATCCAATTAGATTTGGAAGACACGTCAACATATGTAACATTTTTCTTCCGATCATTTCCATTAGCCATCCTCCTAAAAGGCAGCCTACGCACATCGGCAATGTTGCTATTGAAGCTGAAAATGGAAGGATTTCAGTAAAAGTAACGTTTGAATTTATGCTATGAGATTTTAGATAAATCGATGGACAATTGCTTTAGAAATGTATGCTGAATTACTGACTATAAAATGTAAGTAGTTGTACCAACTCGGGACATAAAATTACGAGTAAGAGCTTTTCTTACAACAAAAGAACAATCAAAGACATATAAATTGTTGCATCTGACTAGGAGTACCTGAATGGTAGGTAATAAATGAAACTACTACTAGTATGTATCACAATACATAAGTAATAACCCATCATAAGTAAATTGTACGAAATATATAAATACGTGATCCCGATGGCAAAGTAATCTGCTTTTATTGTTCACCCAAAAAGAAGTCGATAACAATAATGGCACGATTCTTGCGGGTAGCAGAGAAAATTGTGAAAAGTGACGACCATCCTGGGAATAACGTTGGTCGTCACTTTTCAGAATTTTCTCTGCCTGAACAAATTTTATCAAAAGCACATGCATTTTGCAGGTGAGAACACATGTTATTTTATTTATTTTTTTACATTACAATACAATAGAAGAGCACAGTTTCAAATAGTATATAGATACAAAAAAAAAAAAAAAAAAACAGCAATACTGGTGTCAAAAATACAGAAAATTGTCAATTGTATGAAAAGTAATGCTAATCTGGCAGAACTTTGATGAAGGTGGCAGTCACAGCACAGAAAACAAGAATAAACAGGCGTCACAAGGGAAAGACAAAACATTCCATGACCACCAGCAGGAACTTCAACAAGGCCATGACTATGAGTATGAAAATGAATTGACTATGAGTATGACTATGTAATGAGCATACGAACAACATGAATGCCCTTCAGAGAAGATCTCCTGGAGAGACAGAATCCACTTAGTGCCTTCTGAAACAGAACTCAAGAATCAGACAGAATTCTCCCAAAAGAGATTCAAGAGAATCTGATATAAGCTAGAAGATCTATCTAATGAACACTTTACTTTCAAGGAACAGAAAAAAAAATCTTACCAATCCATGATGATAAATTGGTATCAATGTTCCAATCCGATTCTTCTTCTAGTTGGGGAAGTAAAATAGCGGAATATCCTTCTGCCAATCCAAGACTTATTGTAATCAACACTGGCCCAAGACATATAAGTGACTGAAAATTAAACAACGCATTCTTCACAAAAAAAAAAAAAAACTAAAATAAACCAAAAAATTAATTATGATTCCTCTAACAAACCTATATATTTTAATTAGGTAACGGCCCAATTAAGGACCGATTGAGAAGTGTTTTATCTCTGCAAGACCATCCGTGGACGCGTTTCGCTGTATCACAGCTCATCAGCACGATTAGGTCCCGCAGAGAGAAAACACAACCCATTTTTGGTTCCATCCCGGATGGAATAGATGGAGACTCTGTCTTCATCTTACTTGTATCAAACCCAGTTCCGGGATGGAACCAAAAATGGGTTGTGTTTTCTCTCTGCGGGACCTAATCGTGCTGATGAGCTGTGATACAGCGAAACGCGTCCACGGATGGTCTTGCAGAGATAAAACATTTCTCAATCGGTCCTTAATTGGGCCGTTACCTAATTAAAATCAATGTTTTTCGGTACCAACCGACTTAACTTCTGGTAGGCAACTAGAATAGCTATTCTCGCAATTGTGGCGAATGCCTTTGCGAGTCGATTTGCTCTAATTTAATACTGGTTTATACAGTTGTTAGTAGCAATTTTTAGTGTGCCGATCAGAAAATAGATGGAGACTCTGTCTTCATCTTACTTGTATCAAACCTATATATGTTTTGAAGACAAAGTAGTGGGTTGAATTCAAATAACTTATGATTTTTTGGAGAAACATTCGGACAAGTCGATTTCTATGTTGAGCCTCCATATGTTAACTTCTGAGCGGTGCTGAGAACTTTAAATGAAGTTTTTTTCACTCCATTAAAATGAATAAATATTACCAGGAAGCATATCCGAGACTCTAAATATATTTTGGTGAAATTCGCCGAATTGTTTTTTAGGCAGTACATATACCTTTTAATTATTTATGGATGGACCCTAGTGTATAAAATATATTTCTCACCTGCCTGAGTCTTAAAACTAATAAACTTGGGTGCCTTGTATCACTGCTACTTTCTAGCATTTTTTTTCAAGAGTTATTCAAGTTTTAACTTAACACAAGGAAACATCTTAAGCAAATAAAGCAAGATTCGTAATAACTGATCCGAACCAATAATTTTGTCACATATCGATGCAATTTACTTTAATTAATAAGTGTTGTATTTCTATGAGCTGCACGAGTTTTTTTTATTTGACCTGCCTCGGCCTCAAATTTGAATGAATTGTATTGAATGTGGATGTAAAAGTCATTTCAAATACATAGATATTTTTATCGTTGCGCTAATGCAACATATATTTTATTGTTGGCTTACGCAGCTCATTAGGACATGATTTTGTAGTTTACAAGTTATTAATACTTATTGTGTATACTTTTCATCGTATGTCCTTATCAAAAATTGTGCTGTCTTTAAATTAGGCTTTCAGGTAATAATCAATAATTTTAAGCATTTCTGCTGAAAAAACTAGTGACAAAATACAAGTACGAATATACGAATTCCGGCTTGGCTTTTCTCGTCTTCCGATCACGCACGTCTGTATGACTTCATAAAGTCCACTGGCAGCGAAAACAACGCAAGGGTAACATTGTGATATAGCGAAACACAGCTTGATATGATTTTTGACGTGAGAAAATCCGAGAAATACGGAAAACAATAAAGGGATTTTGCTTCATATCTAACATAGCAGCCAGTTGGAGTAAAATGAAAAGTTTTGAAATATTTATTTGTCATCATATGGTATTTATTTTTCTTGAGACGTGCTTTTACACGTGGGTACCAGAGATGGATGATGAAGCAAGTCTTCATCATGACGAAACGAATATAAATTGGTAGAAACATCATTCATTTTACTAGATTATCGTACGATGTAAAAACCTATTATTAAAATATGCAAAAAAAGATACATGCGTGAAAGTCCATTATGGGAAAGAATCTTCATGATTTATTGGGTGCCAGTTTTTGACGGGCATTTTGTCAATTTAGTTCAAGTAGTCATCAAATCGATTCAGTAAAAATGTATGAGAACCCGCCCTTTCTGCAAGGGTCGCGATAATTCGAAAACGTGCAACAAAAAAATGTAGGTTAAATTCTCAAAACACATAAACACACAAGGTGTCTTATCAGATAATATTAAATATATATATATTTTTTTTTTGAACTTTGAACAACTTTTCCTCACCTATCATTGTATACAATTGGTAGGTGCACCAGAAAACTCGAGTCCATGTCAAGCCTTTATTGGATTGCAGGGTCAACCTATAGATGGAAAAGTATTATCGAGCACAAATATTTGTCGTATCCAGGGAGCCTGAGGTCTGGGAATACGTAGACATTTATTAATGAACTTATTTTCCATTATACGGATTTTAATTAAAGGTCTTGGGACCGAAAACCACGCTTCTGGAACATCAAGAAAATAAGGTAGATCCTAAAATCAGGTGATTTATTATACACAGTTTTAAATGATGAAAACATTTTTTTTTTGGCAGCTCTCATGTTTTTACTTGAATATTCCATGGCTTTCAATGTAATTAATCATGTTTTGGCTTGTGGGATAAGCGACGTTTCTGTTAAATTTCCCAGGTCCAATGACAACAGAGATTCACAATTATGGATTATTTTTTGAAGTCAAACAATTGTTGAGGAGAATGACTCAACTCCATCTTCAGTCTGACGGAATGATCGAGTGGAAGGTCACCTAGAAGAGAAATAAAGATTTCCTCGGATCTAATGTTTGGCAGAATGAAGATGAGATAATTCTTGACACTTACCTACTTCATTTTATTTTATTTATTAATGTTATTATTACTCATGTATTATATCGTAATAATTATTATTGAGGTACATAATACAGAGGCCGATTTTTCTTTTGCTTTCAGAAATAAAGGATAAAAGGGTCCGGTGAAATTATTGGACAAAAGAATTGTTATATCTCGACGCTTATCGCTTTTTTTGTCGAAAAGGTTGTAATGGACTTTTTATAGGACGTATCAGCTTACCCCAACACACACACTATGGCCAATTAGTTGCAACATTTCCTTTATTGCATTGTTCCTTTTCTTTGTTCTGTATATGATTTAGTTGTGACGGAAACCAATTTCTTTTTTTTATAAATTAGGTACCAAATTTCTTTTTATTTCTCTTAAAAAATTCTTCAATTTCATACAAGGGCTCACGTAAAATAATAATCAAAACAATCGTTCGGAACTTTCTTATCATGGATAGCTTCTTATCTGTCTTCACTTTATGTTACCAATCAGTGAGCTTTAATGGTGAAGAATCCTGTAAGCAACAAATTACTTCTAGTGTTCCTCATGGATCTGTTCTGGAACCTTTATTGTTTCTGATTTACATCAATGATTCATCAGAGTATGATGTGTCAGCTGTGTTAACAATGTTTGCTGATGATACGACGATTCTGTGGCACGCTAACAATGCTGATCGGTTGGAGAGATGGGTTGGCATGGATCTGGTTGAAATCAAATAATGGTGCAACTCAAATTTCTTGATACTGAACATTGCTAAAACAAATATTGTATCTTTCAAGTGTGGTGTGGGTGATGTCATTTTGGGTTCGCAAGTTGTGCGGGGCTTGCAGGTTAATAAGTTTTTGGGTTTATTCATAGATGAGAAGTTTGGAACTCACGTTCTGAACATGAATGAAAAACTTTCTAGAGGTTGCTTTGCATTGCGGGTTGTCTCGCGAGAGTTGGATTCGTCTACTGCGAGGAATGTGTATTTTGCGTTGGTTGAGTCTCATCTACGTTACGGAATCTATTCTGATCAACTTTTCACTATGGCTTTTGTTCTGCAAAAACGCGCAATAAGGTCAATGTGTGGGGCAGGTCCCAGGCAATCTTGCAGACCCTTGTTTGTTTCACAGAAAATTTTAACTCTCGCATGTATATTTATTACTGAAACTGTTGGCCTATTCATGGTAAGTATAAGGATGATATTGCAACTGCGAAGGTTTCAGTCACTCGTTCAGCTCATGTGGCTTCGCTCCCCATTCCCGTTTCGACCCTCACAAAGAGATCCATAATTTATAACAGCAAAAAGTTTTTTAACCATCTGCCTTTGAATATAGGAAATATTCAGAATAGGAAGCGCTTCAGAATCGAAGTAAAAGATTTATTGGTTGGGAAAGCCTACTATTCAATCGCAGAATTTTCCAATGACTCCCCAAACTAGCGTTTATTTACGTTTACTTCGTTTGACTTTGTCTTTCAATTATATTATGTGTACCTATATTAGTTCATTGTCTTAAACTTCAACCTCATTTATCTTTACCTGTTTTTGTGATTTTCTATATTTCTTTTAACTAGTGTTTGTTTATTATACCCATGTTTGTTTTATATTTATGTAGTATTGAGCATTTATATTGGATTAGTGTGCTTTGATAATAATATTGTATTAGTCTTTATTCAATAAAGCTGTTTTTGATTTGATTTGATTTGAATCATGCCTGGGAAAGACAACTAATAAGGCTGAACATAAGAAAAACTCAATGTTCTGATAGAGTTTCAAGAAGCCAAAAAGCATAAAATTTATACAGTCCAAATTTCAAAATAATTATCAAATTTTATTATGTAATCTCGTTTAGATTGCCTGTTGTGAAGGACCTACTTTAATGAATTTTTATAACATTTTGATAACTATTCATGAAACTTCATTCAAACTGAAATGTGCTCACAAAGTTCCCAAAAAAAAAGGTCGTTTAAACATTTGCATAAAGCCATATTATTATCATATGTGTTCGTATGGAGGCGAGGCATATTATTCATCCTCGTACAACTACGTCACACTTGCCTGGGCACATGAATTGGAACTAAGTGGGTCAAGTTAACCCAACTGCAAAATTGTCTTGATAGCGTATCAGTTTACACTTATATACATTTCTAGGTCTGGAGCAATTTTAATTTTGTACAGGCACTTGGGTTGGGCTGTATTATTCGGCCTTATTTAACTTCAATACCTTCTCTTCGTAGCTATATTCGAATTTTATATAAATATTGGACTGTCCGATATTTGAATCTTTCAATAATTTTTACTTTTAGTTTCTTTCAAGTATTGCTCTTGAGATAAGTCCGTTTCCTAGTAAATGTATTGAGGCCACTGTAACAAAAAAAAAATACAGCAGTCACTTGTAATATATACATAATATTTTGCGTGTACTAGTGTTTCATAAATATTTAGCATGCTTAAATCACAATTTGCAACTGAACTCAATGATATAAATCAAAAATAACAAGTTGCGAGCACGAAAGGAACGACAGAAACTCTAAGTAACAGAAAAGCAGTTACAGTTTGTTTTAAACTAGGTATATACAATAATCAACGTTTTGTGTGCCAAGTCTAGTTGGAATTCCACAACTCAGATATTACAAGGATGTTTCGTTACCTCAATGCTTCCGTCTAAATTGTTCTTCCGTCACAAAATGCAAAACTGTGCAAACTGTGTACAACACTCAACAACTTTTTGAGAACAATGGATCCAAGGCTGATAGGACGTTACGCTTTTGGGACAGTGCAGTACATTCTTTCAGGGGCGGCAATAAAGCACTCAGGATCCATTGCACTAAGTCTGGACGAATGCCGTTATTGCCTGTCAATTTGAAGATTGAGAAGCTTAGTAGTTATTGCTCATAGTAATTATTTGTTTTCGTTCGCGATCTGTTTGACAATTTGTCAGTCTATGTCGATGTTCACAAACCAGTTTAAGAATCTCTTGTAAGCTGGCGATTTTGCTGCCATTGCGAATGATCTTCAAGTTCTTCGAACAAGGCCCTCGAAGCTTCTCTCTGCCGCGTCCTAACTAGTTTTTTGGGCTGCTGCAGAGTGGAAATGTATTGTTTCTCCGTCTGGTTGTAGCGTTTGAAGCTACTTTGTATTTAGTTGTTAATTTTATCTAAAAATGTCTTGGAACAGCAGGTTGTACGGGACTGTTCATGACGTAGCTTAACTGTCGAAATCTATTTTTACTAGACAACATCTTTCAGTTTGTAACCTTGATTTTGCTACTTGCCAAATTTAATACTGTTTTCAGCTGATAATTCTTAACTGTATTATTAATATTGATATTTTGTAAGATTATTGAGCGGCATATTTACAATGTTACAGCTTAAGGCTATCTTTGAGGTTTAATAATAAGATGTAAATAATTTTAAGTTAAGTTAATGTTGTATACAGGCCCTTAGGATT